TGGGAGGGACTGGGATGGAGTGGGATGGGATTGGGAGGGACTGGGATGGACTGGGATGAGATTGAGATGGACTGGGAGGGAGTGGGATCGAGTGGGAGGGAACTGGGGGGGACTGGGATGGAGTGGGAGGGGACTGGGATGGGATACTGGGATAATGGGATGGACTGGGATGGGATTGGGGAGGGATTGGGATGGACTGGGATGGGATTGGGATGGACTGGGATGGAGTGGGAGGGGACTGGGGGAACTGGGAGAGACTGGGGGGAACTGGGAGGAGATTGAGGGGGACTGGGATGGAGGAAAAGGGGATTGGGAGGCACTGAGAGGGCACTGGGAAGGAAGTGGGAGGGGACTGGGAGGGACTGGGGAGACTGGGAGGGACTGGGAGGGCAATGGGGGGCACTGGGATGGAGAAAAACGGGACTGGGAGGGAACTGGGATGGAACTGGGAGGCACTAGGATGGAAGAAAAGGGGACTGGGAGAGACTGGGAGGGACTGGGATGGGTTACTGGGATAATGGGATGGGATTGGGATGGACTGGGAGGAACTGGGATGGGACTGGGATGGAGGAAGAGGGGACTGGGAGCCCCCCAGTTCTTCCTGTGTTTTTTGGGGTGTCTTTCTCCTTCTCACCCCCAACCCCTCCCCATTTTTGGGGGGGCCATTTCCCCCCCCTCTAACCCCCAACCCCTCCCCATATATTTTTGACCCATTCCCCCTCTCTCTAACCCTTCCATTTACCCCCCCAAATCCTTTTTTTTTTTGAATTTTTTTAATTTTTTTAATTTTTTTTTTGTTTTGTTTTCTTTTCCCAGCTGACATCCCCCCATCCCCAGGGAACATCCCAGCCAGCCACCCCCTGCTGGTCCGGCACGCCGAGCACGGGGGGCTGGGGCTGGGGGCTGGCCCGGGGGGCACCCGGCTGGCCCAGGGGCTGGGCAGGAGCCAACGAACCCTGCGGCAACTCACGGCCAACGCTGGCCACACCATCCACGTGCATTACCCCGGGGCACGGCAGCCCAACCCGCCCCTCATCCTGCAGAGGTGAGGGACAGCCGGGGGGACCCCAAAAATCTACTGGGGACACCCCAAAAATCTACTGGGGACACCCCCAGACCCGCCCCTCATCCTGCAGAGGTGAGGGACAGCCGGGGGGACCCCGAAAATCCACTGGGGACACCCCCAGACCCGCCCCTCATCCTGCAGAGGTGAGGGACAGCCGGGGGGACCCCGAAAATCCACTGGGGACACCCCAAAATCTACTGGGGACACCCCAAAATCTACTGGGGACACCCCCAGGAACCCCAAAAATCCACTGGGGACACCCCAAAATCTACTGGGGACACCCCCAGACCTGCCCCTCATCCTGCAGAGGGGAGGGAGAACCGGGGGGATCCCAAAAATCTACTGGGGACACCCCCCAGACCCCCTGGGAATCTTCATCCCCTACCTGGTCAGTCCCACAGCCCCACCTTGGGGTCCCACAGCCCCACTTTGGGGTCTGACACCCCCGCTGAGCCCCCCAAAGACCCCCAAACAAACCCTGACCCCCTCTTTGGGCTCCTGGGCCCCTCGGTGGCCACTGACATCCTGCAGCCTCCTGCTGCAGAACCGGGGTGTGCTCCCACCTGGGGGTCTCAGATCCCCAATTTGGGGGTCCCACAGCCCCAACCCTGGATCCCTGAGCCCCCCAGCACCCCCTGACCCCCTCTCAACCCCCCCGACCCCTCCCCAGGCTTCCGAGTCCCTCTGCAGCCACGGACATCCTGCTACAGAGCTGGGGTGTGCCCCCACCTGGGGGTCTCAGAACCCCAATTTGGGGGTCCCACAGCCCCAATTTGGGGGTCCCACACCCCCCAAACACCCCCTAAACACCTCATTAACACCCCCCCCCGACCCCTCCCCAGGCTGCTGGGCCCCTCTGCAGCCGCTGACATCCTGCAGCTGAGCAGCAGAACCGGGGTGTGCTCCTACCTGGGGGTCTCAGAACCCCAATTTGGGGGTCCCACAGCCCCAATTTGGGGGTCCCACACCCCCCAAACACCCCCTAAACACCCCCTAAACACCCCTCTGACCCCTCCCGACCCCTCCCCAGGCTCCCCAGTGGCTTGGTGGCCGCTGACATCCTGCGGCCTCCTGCTGCAGAGCCGGGATGTGCTCCCACCTGGGGGTCTCAGAACCCCAGTTTGGGGGTCCCACACCCCCCAAACACCCCCTAAACACCCCTCTGACCCCTCCCGACCTCTCCCCAGGCTCCCCAGTGGCTTGGTGGCCGCTGACATCCTGCAGCCTCCTGCTGCAGAACCGGGGTGTGCTCCTACCTGGGGGTCCCAGATCCCCAATTTGGGGGTCCCACACCCCCCAAACACCCCCCTGACCCCTGCCGACCCCTCCCCAGGCTGCTGGGCCCCTCGGCGGCCGCGGACATCCTGCAGTTGAGCAGCAGCCTGCCGCTGCAGAGCCGGGGCCGGGCGCGGCTCCTGGTGGGCAATGAGGACGTTCACATCATCGCCCGCTCCGACGATGAACTCCTCGATGATTTCTTCCACGAGCAGGGCAGCGCGGGCAGCCAGGCAGGCGAGTGGGGACACTGGGGACATCTGGGGACATCTGGGGACAGTGGGGACATCTGGGGACACTGGGGACATCGGGGAGCACTGGGGACATTGGGGACACTGGGGATATTGGGGACATTTGGGGACATGGGGGACACTGGGGACATTGGGGGCACTGGGGACATGGGACACCTACACAGCCAGGCAGGCGAGTGGGGACACTGGGGACATCTGGGGACATCTGGGGACATTGGGGACATGGGGACATCTGGGAACATGGGGACACTGGGAACAGACACAGCCAGGCAGGCGAGTGGGGACATTGGGGACATCTGGGGACGGTGGGGACATCGGGGAGCACTGGGGACATTGGGGACATCTGGGGATATTGGGGACATCTGGGGACAGTGGGGACATCTGGGGACAGTGGGGACATTGGGGATATTGGGGACATTGGGGATATTGGGGACATGGGGGACACGGGGACAATGGGGACAGACACAGCCAGGCAGGCGAGTGGGGACACTGGGGATATTGGGGACATGGGGGACATTGGGGATATTGGGGGACATGGGGGACACGGGGACAATGGGGACAGACACAGCCAGGCAGGCGAGTGGGGACATTTGGGGACATTTGGGGACATTGGGGACATGGGGGACATTTGGGGATATTGGGGATAGTGGGACATTGGGGACAGACACAGCCATGCCGGTGAGTGGGGACATTTGGGGACATTTGGGGACACGGGGTTGTTTGATTGACAGTCCTGGGCTGAGGTGGGCGTGGTCTCACGGGGAAGGGGCGTGGCCTCCAAAGCTCCCCTCCCCCCCCCCAGGGACCCTGTCCAGCATCCCCACGGCCCTGACCCGCTGGACCGAGGAGTGCAAGGTCCTGGACGCCGAGAGCATGCACGACTGCGTGTCGGGTGAGGGCCGGGACCACCCCCCGGGACCCCCTGGGACCCCCAGACCCCTGGGACCCTCCTGGGACACCCCCCGGGTCACCCCCAGACCCCCGAGCCTCGCTCACCCTGCCCCTCCCCAGTGGTGAAGGTGCCCATCCTGGGTATCCAGGTGCCCATCCTGGGTGTCCAGGTGCCCATCCTGGGTGTCCAGGTGCCCATCCTGGGGTCCCTCACCCCCCAAATTCGCCTCCCCAGTGGTGAAGGTGCCCATCCTGGGGTCCCTCACCCCCCAAATTCGCCTCCCCAGTGGTGAAGGTGCCCATCCTGGGTGTCAAGGTGCCCATCCCGGGTATCCCAAACCCCCAAATTTCCCCCCAAACCCCCCAAATTCGCCTCCCCAGTGGTGAAGGTGCCCATCCTGGGTGTCCAGGTGCCCATCCTGGGTATCAAGGTGCCCATCCTGGGGTCCCTCACCCCCCAAATTCGCCCCCCCAGTGGTGAAGGTGCCCATCCTGGGTATCCAGGTGCCCATCCTGGGTGTCCGGGTGCCCATCCTGGGGTCCCTCACCCCCAAAATTTCCCCTCCCCAGTGGTGAAGGTGCCCATCCCGGGTATCCCAAACCCCCAAATTTCCCCCCAAACCCCCCAAATTTCCCC